AACTACATTTAAAAATGCACTCCAGCTAAATATTTATTAATATTACAACTACACATTAAAATGCATTTATACTAAATGTTTATCAATATTACTACTATATATTAAAATGCATTTATACTAAATGTTTATCAATATTACTACTAAATATATATAAATGCATTTATACTAAATGTTTATCAATATTACTACTATATATTAAAATGCATTTATACTAAATGTTTATCAATATTACTACTATATATTAAAATGCATTTATACTAAATGTTTATCAATATTACTACTATAAATTAAAATGCATTTAAACTAAATATTTCTCAATATTACAACTACATTTTAAAATTCACTCAAACTAAATGTTTCTCAATATTACTACTAGGTCTGGGCCGATAAACAAAATAATATTGAATCACAATAAAATTTACGTCAATAACAATAATAAGCTCTGGACATTTTTATTCTATATTGTTATAAGAGCTGAAAATGTTATGTCATTTAATGGACTGGGGTGTCAAAATCAATTGTTTCTTCGGTGCACTGCGATGCAGATGGGGATAATTCGATATTGGTTCAGTGATGGATCATAACCGGCTATTACATACTGACGTCATTTATCTCCTATATGCGCGAGGTCGCAGTTGAATACTATGGCGAAGGAGGCGAGGGTGACTAAATAAAGCACTACTACCATTTAAAAGGTAGATTATTATGCACAATTCAACTGCTAGTGAGTTTGCTGGAAAGTCTTTCATTGACACTGAAGGCAAAGCATACGAGCCGCATTTTCACTACTAGGGAGAGATGCTGTAAAAATCCATCTCTGCCTCTCTCACACACTTTGGACATTTGACCCACTGGCCTGTTTGTGAGGAAACTTTTCCTCTCCTCTCGGCTGTTAAAGTGACACTTGTGGATCCAGACACAAGAGTGGCTGTGGTGCGAGTTTTCTCCACTGTGTCTTTTATAGATTACCTGTGATAACCGCGCAGCATGCGCATATAGACTGTAACCGCGGCTGTTCTTCCCGCGTCACTCATCGGTTAACGACGCTTTCATTTTTAAAGCCAAAAGCAGCCCCTTTTTTTGAGCGGGTGAAGACAATGACGAATCATAGGAGTGTAAGACAGCACTCAAAAAGGAAGCGGTATAATATTTATATTAGTTTGTTTGTTTGCTATAAATGCTCATGCTGTCTTCTGTGCATGTATTGGAGTTTTGTTTAATACATTCAAAAAAAAGAGTGTTTTCTTTGAGCAGGTCAAATTATAGGTACAGTTCATATATCTTACTGCTGTAAGATAATATTAATATATTTATAGATTTTAATTTTAAAAAATTCTTGTGTTGTGAAAATCGAATTATGTATGGAAAGCATCGTTAATGCAGCGAGATACTGAATTGAACCCAATCAATGGCATGATATTCGTAACCGAACCAAACCATGAGACCAGTATAGGTTCACACCCCTATAATGGATCCTCAAATTTTTGTGGCGTCAGTCATTGTTTGGGTACTCTTTCAAATCTGGAAGCATTAACAACTTATATCCTAATATATATTGTTATTGTTCAATATGGAAAATAATTATCCAGATTGCATTTTTACCATTTTGCCCAGCCCTAATTACTACTACATTTTAAAATGCATTTAAACTAAATATTTCCCAATATTTTCCCAGAGATGGGTTGTGGCTGGAAGGGCATCTGCTGCGTAAAAACTTGCAGGATAAGTTGGCGGTTCATTCCACTGTGGCGACCCCGGATTAATAAAGGGACCAAGCCGACAAGAAAATAAAGAAAAGATTTCCCAATATTACTGTCTGTTTTTATTGTATTTTCATCAAATAAAAGCAGCCTCATAAGAAAAATGTGCTTTGTACACCAGTTTTTCCCAGTTACTCCCCTTAAAAAATTTAAATTTAAGATTTTCTGTCATCCAAACAGAACAACATGGTTGGAAATATATATATATTTTTTTAAATCGCCTTTCCAACTTTCAGTTCTGAAGAACTTGACGCTGTGCAAAAGTGTTCCTATTAAACAACTAAACTGACATTTAAACAATCCTTTTTTTCCACCGAGTTGGAGGAGGCAGTTTCCTTGCCATTCAAGGCAACATCACAGATCTCAGTTTCAAAACAACCAGCAGACTAGCACAATGGCACCAGGAAGCCAGATAACACCACACAGAGCAATTCAGGAAACAGGGTCGTGATAGGACATTAACTCCAGCGCAGACTAACGCACCACATCTGACTCTTTAACTACAGACACCGACTGCACCTTCACTGAAGAATCTGCAATGTTACATAAACAATCCTCATGTCCGACATTCAGGAAGTCGGTGAAGCTTTAAAGCTAAACAACTCAGGAATCTAGAGGCAACTGGCCTGAGACGGATTCCTCCTCGGACTTCCTTGACTAATCCCAAAGGAAGTGCTGGTTTATTTCTGTTATTCAGTGACGTCCCAAGCCAGTCCTGAAGAACCAAATCTTTGCTGTCCCCCACCCAAAACATCAACTAATCTCCAGCGGCCAAGAAACATCTTTTTCCTTCTGCATTGTGCTTGACAGGCCGTGAACTTGACAGTTTACCTCAGTTTACAAGAAGAAAACGTTCTCGTTTATACCAGAATTTAATATCTTATTCATTAAAGCAAATGAAGTTGACAGGTGCAAAAGTTTAAATATTAAATGAGATAACCATTTGACATTAATTGTATGTGTAAACTTTGTATATAGAAACTGTTTGGGGATATTTACGCACAACCAAGACTCTGCATTTTAAAAATTAAAATAGCGCAACGCAGAAATATAATTTATGTCCACTAAGAGGAACGGAGATGTATGGAGCTTGCTGTCATGTCCACTTTGGTCATTAAAATGCAAATCCTCAGCCAAAAATGAGCGGTCAAAAAATTAACAAATTAAAGGATAGAGAAAGGAAGGCCTTGAGGAATGCTGGGAAAGCATATGTAAATCAAAAACAGCATTAAAAACCCGGGAAAAATCCTTCGAAAGTGGTGAGTGGAAGATCAGTATATGTCATCTCTCTCTCTCTCTCTCTCTCTCTGAACGTGCTGAGGAGCATCAGCAAAAGCAGTTAATATATCAAAATAAAGCACATATATATAATAAAGCTGTATCAATTAGGGATGCTCTGATCGATCGGCAGGAGATCAGCATCGAACGATAATCACATTTCATGACTCGATCGGTACTCCCTGATCTGGCTGATCTCATGAACCAATTACAAGTGTTTGTGTTAGTTGGAGATGAGCAAAATATTTGAAAGACCTTGCATGTAGTTAGGCCCTTTTTTACAACTAAGAACTGAAACTTCTGTGTTTTTGACAACATTGCAAGTTCAATAAAAACTGGCTGAAAATATTAGATACTAGGTTTGTCGCAATACCCTTATTTAATCTTATGGTACTATACCAGCTAAAGTATCATGATACCAAGTAGTATTGCGATACTGTAATTCATAACTCAAATTATAAAAGAAATGGTCAGAAATACGATATTTTATGTCATAATAGGCCTACCTGAATGAAATTCATAATACCCTGAAGGCTAAAAAGTATTACTTGCACCGCACTAGGCATGGGATGATAACTGTTTTCAAAGTATACCATGGTTTGGAAAAGTCAAGGTTTTAATACTGTCCCTAAGGTAAGTGTAAGATTTTTTTATTTAAATTTTTATTTTTTTATTTTTTTTAGAAAAGTTTCTCCAGCAGACAAAATTTTCAAAGATGCCATTTTAAATCATGATAAAATTGTATTATTTCTTTAACTGCCCAACCAAGAAAAAAATGCTTGGATTGCATATCTTAACTCCTAATGTTGCTAGTTAACACAATCAATGCATTTTTTTTAACACATCCCATAATTTCTAAAATATCAACCTCTAACAAATGGTTGATATGTCGGTTTATGGTAAAAGTACCAGAATTAATACATAAACTATGAAAAATCTGAAAATATGTAGTGTACGACCAATTTATTTACAAACAATCAAAATAAAACAGTTTTGAATACTAAATCATCTTTATTTTTTAAGTATGCCATAAAATATTTTAAATTCTCATTTAACATGTTTTATTGTTTTGTTTTGTTTTTTACAATAAAACCAATTCCATGTGTAGTAGTGCAACAGGATTAGATTTGTTTGATTATTTTTGTAAACCAAAAATGCTGCAGTGTAAGCCATTATTTTAACAGTCATTTTTTAAATGACTTTATTTAAAACAGTAAAAACATAGTTAACCATTTGGTAGGAAGGGCATCTGCTGCGTAAAACATATGCTGGATAAGTTGGCGGTTCATTCCGCTGTGGCGACCCCAAATTAATAAAATGACTAAGCCGAAAAGAAAATGAATTAATTAATGTTTTGAAGTCATTCTTACAAAGGATTTCAACCTGAATATTTAAAGTACCATGGTAAACAATGAAGCGAGCATGTCACTGAACTAATATGCAAATATAAACCTACCTTACCTCAATCAATTGTATTATCCCATGTATCGCATTATGTCCAAATGTGTAAACATATACATTGCATGCATCATGGAACACACAAGCTAAAATCTTTTTTAAGGAAAATGTCATTCATTTAACTGCACTTGGGGTTAACTATTAAACCTTGTAGCAAATGAACATTTATGCAAATTGTTCGTGTATTCAACATCAACAAACTGAAATCTCTAAATTTAGAGGTTACAGTTGAAGCAATGCATGTGTCATATCAAAACAACACCTACTAAAACACTCACCCATACAAAATAAAGCCACAACACCATATAAACTCTATGTATATCTGTCTACACCTTTAAATGCAACTGTGTCAGTTATTGTCAAGCTCTTTAAAAGAAAAACATTTTTGGTAAACTCCCTATGGACTACTGAAGGTACCTTCAATCTCTTCAGAGTATAGCATGCTAGCTCCCAGTAAGGCAGCAGTGGGCTCCTAAAATGAGTATAAATAACGTTATTTCTCACCGATAACGATCCTCAGATGCTTTAACCTCGTCAGCACGTCCTTCTTGGGGTCCAGCACTTTCTGTGTCGATTTCCTGACATCTCCATGAGGCTTTTTGGAGAACATTCCGAGTTGTTTTGAAGAGCTAATGATAATCTTCCGTTAATTCCCTCAAACATGGACGGGCTTGTCAGATCTACGGCTCGAGGGGTGTTGTGGGTTGTAAGGAGACGTGAGGATTTGGGGGTGAGGCGTGCATTTTTGCAGAGGAGGTCAGACAAAAGAAAAGAGCAAGCAGCCTCCTCTCTGTGTGTGTGTGTGTCTTGTGAACTACACACCTCTCTGAAGATCTGAAAACATGGCGGAGGACGCGACATGAAAAACACCTTCATCGATGCCAGAGCCATTCAACGCGCAGGCAGACGTCATCTGGGCTGAGGCGCGCTCCAAAATATGTTTCTCGATCGTGTTATTCCCACGATCTTTCACTACATACATGCATTATATGGAACAACTGTGATATTAGAAATAGAAATCAATCTATGTTTATATCCACGTGGTTTAACAGAAATATAATATAGGCTAATTCTAATAATTTTTTGATAAGTGTGGCACCTTCTTGTCTTATGTACAATTTATCTAGTAATAATTTTCCTTTACCTTTTGAAGAATTTTATGCAATGTAAAAAGCAATTCCTTTAGGCCTAATTCAACTTATAAAATCTCATTTAAGTTTTAATGAAAATGTTTTTAAAGAGTCAGAGCTCAGCTCAAATGGAATTAGCCTATTCGACAAAAAAATGTAATAATAAATATATTCAACAAATTTTCCAAAATAAAACGTATATTGTTCCTAAGGGCAAATTTGACTGGGCATCCTTTATTGATCTAATAGACTGGAAAAAACTTGGCTATTACCTCAAAAGTACTGTACTGCATTCCCAATAAAACAGAACTTCTTTAAATATATCCAGAGAATAGTAGTTTGGCTAAGTATGGATGTTGATAGTTCATGCTCATTTTGTAAATCTGAAGAAGAACCGGGATTTTTCAATGTAAAAACACAAAAAAAGATTTTGAAATAGCTTATCTTCATAGGCAATTACAGTACATTTCTTCTTCCAGCCCCTTTCAACTAGGGTATTATTTGCAACAAGATAAAACCGATATATCAGAAAACTACAGTAATAACTTTTTTATTTTGTATGAAAAATATTTTATTCACAAACAAATTCACGAATTCGCAGCCTTCTTTTCACATTTTTTTAAGAAAAATGTTAGATTCATGGATTATTAGAATAATTATTTTGGAAATATTATGGATACATAAGTTTCCCTTTCCACTTGCTATATATTTAAATCTTTTTTATTTGATAGGACAGTGGAGTTGGGACAGGAATACATGAGGAGCAGAGAGAGGGGGGAAAGATAGGTCGCCATGAGCACCGTGGTGCTATATGTCGGTGCAATTTACCACTAGGCTATTGGCACCGACGGTATCTGAAAGCTTTTAGTAAGAAAAAAAAGGTACAAATTTTAAAACTAAAATAATTTTTGTGTATATATATAAATTTTTTAATTTTTTTTGTTATTAATCTATTTATTTTGTTGATTAAGTTTCAAATTCACAAATGTTGATTTTCAACAAAAAAACAACAACCCTGTTTTACTTTGTTTTATAAAGGAACTTTATTTGAAAAATTACTTTTGTGCTATTCAGCTTTACTGTTTAACTATTAGTACAATAAGTACTAATAGAAAGGCCATTAAAACTGTCCATTTGTCCTTTTTTTCAACATTTTAGATCAATGTAAAGGTCCTGCTTGTTTGTGATTGTAAGAATTTTCTTTAATTATTTACAGGCCCATAGCCAGGGGGTTTGGGTGGTGTGGGTGGTTCCACTCCTCACTGACAAAGGTCCAGAATGGGGTGGGGGAGAGCGGGGCACAGTAACACTTTTTGGTTTTGGCCAAATAAAAATCAATGTATAGGTTATTCATTTCCCCCCAATTTCTGTTTAACGGAGAGAAAGATTTTTCAGCACATTTCTAAACATGATAGTTTTAATAACTCATCTCTAATAACTGATTTATTTTATCTTTGCCATGATGACAGTAAATAATATTTGACTAGATATTTTTCAAGACATTTCTATACAGCTTACAGTGACATTTAAAGGCTAAACTAGGTGAATTCGGTTAACTAGGCAAGTTAGGGTAATTAGGCAGGCTATTGTATAACGATGATATGTTTTGTAGACTATCAGAAAAAAATAGCTTAAAGGGGCTAATAATTTTGTCCTTAAAATGGTGTTTACAAAATTATAAACTGCTTTTATTCTTCACAAAATAAAACAAACAAGACTTTCTCCAGAAGAAAAATATTATCAGACGTACTGTGAAAATTTTCTTGCTCTGTTAAACATAATTTGGGAAATATTTAAAAAAGAAAAAAAATTCAAAGGGGGCTAATAATTCTGACTTAATTGTAACTGACTTAATTAAAACTGTATAAATGTTTATCAAAAGATGCTGGGAAGTTGTATCTTCACAAACAATGGTTTCTTAATAAAATAAATAAAAGAAAATAATTGTATGGATATTTTATGTAAAGTAAAACAACGAATCAGTTCACTTAGATTATTTAATAAAAAGTAATGTGTTTCTTTTTGTTTTTTTTATGTTTCTTAATGTTTTTTTGTTCTCAGCAATAATAATAATAATAATAATAATAATAATAATAATAATAATAATTTTCTCTCTGTTCCTTGGTTTCTCAACACTTAAGTTTGAGTTTAAATTTTTATTTTCAAATTAATGTATGTGGTTAATCTGGCTTTTTCCTTTTCTTTTTTGTTTTTGGTCATTCAAATGTCTTCTTAGTATACTGTCTGTATATTTTGAGGTTTTATTTTATTATTTATTTCATTGGGATCTTTTGTTTCAAAGTAATTTTAATTTTTTGAGAATATATTTATTAATCCATTTAATATTTAAAATTTGTTTTGTGTGTATAGATTAGCTTAAGGTTTATTACACACATAAGTTCTAATTTATTTAAAAATGTTAATATTTTGTAAAGTAAAAGTGAACAGTAATGAGATATGTGTTTCAATTAAAACAATATAAAACAATTACCATATTTATTTTGCCATTTGCTGTATAATAAATTAATAATATGGAAAAAAACATGACAACTAAAAACCTGTTGTAAAACAGAAGTTCATTTTTGAGATTTTTTCATAGTGAAATGGTCTCTGTTCTAAAATAAACTGTATAATAATATATAATTATCGATAAGTTCAGTGAGTTAAGTTCAAAACACAATCATTTAATCAAGTCGTCGATTGATTCATACAGCCTGTTTTCATAGTCGTAAACACCCTCTGCCCGGAAAGAGTGCCGAAGGGGAATTGTAGTTCTTCAACTAACAAAATACAACAAAACCATACGCCGTTGGATCACCATAGAAAACTACAGACCCCAGAACTCCACAACAGCGCACATTCCGCGCCAGTGTCCCAGCTTTCCATCGAGTAGCATGGCTTACTGAAGAAAAACAAAGCTTTTTTTTTTTTTTACCGATTATTAAAATAGGTTAAAGCGATTTTATAAGCTAGAACTTCCCGTTTTATTTTCATCCTATATACACTTAACGACAAATACTGGTCATACGCAGAGTTTGAACGTTCGTTAGCATGATACATGTAGATGTTTATGTGCCTGTTTTATTTTTAGCCGTGCCATCAAGTTAGCAAACACATCTCGTTAAAGATACTGATTTGAAGGTTAGAAGTAAAATAAGTAGATTTCTCAGTAATCTTCGTTTAACAAGACGGTATGCCAGTGCACTCGAGAGAAAAGAAAGAAAGCAACCATGAAGAAATGGAGGTGGATTTTGCAGAGCAAGAGGGAAGCAGCTCAGAAGATGAAGACACGGAGAGCTCTTCTGTCTCTGAGGATGGAGAAAGTTCAGGTATGAACCACATTTTGTATTATATGTAAAAAAAAAAAATTTAATTAACATTGATGAGAATTGAAATATAATGATGATTGTTCTCGTCTGACATTGATTGCAAGTCAGTTGACAGCCCTCTTAAAGGGATAGTTCACCCAAACTTATTCACTCACCTTTTACTTGTTTACACTTTTGAGTTTCTGTCTTCTGTTGAACACCAAAGAAGACATTTTAATTAAAACTGTTATCATTGACTTCCATAGTATCTGCTTTTTCCACTATGGATGTCAATGGTTTCAGCATTCTTCAAAATATCTTCTTTTGTGTTCAACAGAAGAAAAAAGCTCATCATTTTGAAACTAATGGGCCATATGCACAGCTACTTTTTTAAGCCAATGATGAATGTCCGGTTAAAGCTTTATGTGACGGTTTTCAATTTCATAAGGTTCCCTATACAGCTTCAATGTTGTAATGTAATTCAAATATAATCAGTTAAATAGACTTAATCATCCATTTGATTATTAAAGCAAGAAAAAAAAGAAACATAAGACAATTAATTTACAGGTTAGCTCAGAAGCTCCATTAAAAATACTGGGGTAAAATAAATTTCCATATTTTAAAGACAATTCATGGAAAAAATTAATTTAATGCAGTTTTTCTTGTTTGATCTGATACCCACTTTATATTGTATCTCAATCAGGCAGTGAAGTTCACTGTTTTTTAAGAAATCAGATCATATACGTGGCCATTTTGTATGGGATAACAATTAATCAGAAGCCCTAGGGCTGGCTGACTGAAATTAAAAGTCTGTGTGCATATACCCCATAGAGGGAGGGTAAATAGTGACACTTTCATTTTTTGGTGAACTGTCCCTTTAACATGTATCAGATTCATTTACTACTTAAACTTTCTTTAAATATTTGCTCTGTTAAAAGATTTAATGTCTGTCTAATTACAGAAATGGACGACGAAGACTGTGAAAGGAGAAGGATGGAATGCATTGATGAGATGACCAATCTAGAAAAACAGTTCACTGACCTCAAAGACCAGTGTGTTTTATGCTCATATTTAGTTTTTCAGACAGGGAAATATTAAAATGACATACCTTTAAAGCAGAGATGCCCAAAGTAGGGCCCGCAGGCCAAAGTTGTGACCTTTGATTTGGCCCGCCATCCCTTCTAAGAGCAGAGACTGATAGAGAGGGTTGGGTCAAATACTTTTAACACAGAGATCATCATATCTAATTTGACATAAACCTTTTTGTGTTTTATTGCTGCGCTACAAAAAAGACTGAAATTAAATGTTTCAATTTAATGTTGTAAATAAATCAGATTTGTTTCCAATATAAATACTGTCACTCGACAGATAGACTATGCTGAAGACATCAGCGAGCAAATCAAAGCAACAATCAGTCTAAATCTGTTATGAATGAGATTGTTTTGTTTTTACTGTATTAAGTTTATTATAAAATGTCAAATAATACTGTATTAGTAAATATAAAGCAGTGTTTTATAGTCATTTTTAAACATCATTAAAAAAATTAGTAAATTAGCCATGAAAACTTTATTTACCTTCGGCCCAAAAGCCTCAATCAAGTTTGTTTTTGGTCCTTCATAAGAAAAGTTTGGGCATCCCTGCTTTAGAATAAGCCCTTGAAATAATTAAAAATAAAAAAAATGTGAATGGAAAAGATGTTAAAAGAACATGTGTTTTATGATCAATCACCAATAAATGTAACTGGTAGTTAGGGCTGGGCAATTAATCCAAAAGTAATCGAAGTTGACATTCAGAACCTGTAATCGATCTAATTTTTCCAGGTCAGTT